AACGTGTGAATTTATTGGACTATTTTTAAAAGTTGCAGATCTTGCTATGTAAGTGAATACATCTTACGTTTGAATATCTTATGCAAACGAAACCCGTCATATTCCTTATTGAACCTTTTGTTGACTTTGTTAGGGTTAACAAATATTTTCTTTCCGTTTTTTGTAGCGCCCCCTTTCTGGAAAGAACAACCTAAAGACACCGAAGCCGTGCATGGGCAGAGTGCGAGTCTTCACTGTGGAATTGGTGGCTATCCTAGACCAAAGATTACTTGGAAGAAGGCCTATGGTAGGCTAATCACTTTACTTTGTGTTGAAAAACCTAAAACACCTGTTGTTCAGAGCTGGCGATGATTTATTGTAGTAAAGGGCTTCTGATGCTTTGTTAGGCCTTTTTTGTTACTTGAATATCAGAATAAATTAAACGATAGCAAACCTAAGATGTAATTTTATATTCATGTGATAATTATTTAAAACTACAAGCAGCTACATCCTTTCATGCACCAGGCATGGGTTAGTGGTTCGTATGCTAAACTGTGAATCTGAGGGTTCATGGTTTGCATCTACTTGCCACAAAAATGCGCCTTGCACTTTGGGGCCGAAAGTGCATTATAAGAGTGATGGTCAAATCCCACTATTCGATTATAGTAACCAAACTAATGGAGGTGGGTGTTGTTGACTAGCTTCTTTTTTCTAGTCGGTCAATGCAAAATTAGATAGCCCTTATGTAGTATGACGTGAATTTCTGAGACAAACAACAAAATCTGTTGTTAACTGTATACGATAAGTCATCTCATGTATTCATTGCTAATCGGCTGTAGTTAACACAGTTTTTATTTCAAACGCGTAACAAGTTAAAACGTTTTGATAGTGTGAGTTGGATGTGGTTGTTGATACAGTTTCTAGTTTATTGTATTGCTGATTGTACATGGGCCAGTCTTAGTGAACTATGATTTATTTTAGTTTTATGATAAGTGCCAAAGTCTATAGCTGTAACTTGTTTTCAACAATTAATTCATTTAGTTTTATATAAACGTTACGTCATTCTTAATATCAGAAATAAATGACCTCATAACACTAAAAATGTTTTTATTTAATTAGATACTCAACCTTTCACTTTACAGCTTCTTCAGGAGTGTTCCTCTAAAATACAAACCATAACTGACAGTGCGCTACAGAAATTAAATAATCATAGCCTTTGTTGAAAAAATATTTTAGTCTGCAACTAAAAGTGTTATTGGAATTTTCAGTAATGTTTCTTTTCTCAACAGGAACCCAGTCCAAAGATTTTCTCGTTGTCCATAACGAATACAAGAAGACTATCTTGGAGAATGGGACACTGGTAATCGACAGTTTGAAGGAGGCAGATGAAGGGGTGTATACTTGCGAAGCTGAGAATGGTGTGGGTGAAGGAATTCAGGCCACTGTCCGACTTTCTGTACACGGTAAGGTCAGGATTCAGACTTCATTTTGTATTGATGGCAGGGCTATTCTTACAGGGTTTGATATTAGTAGAGGAATATGCTCATAATTACACTTACATTCCCATACTACTAATACTTGCATACCTGTTGTCAGCAGCATTAAATACTGAGGTATACTGTATTGATGGAGACTTAAGGATTCACTCCTATGAATTTCAAGTGGTCCATTTTTCTTTCTTGCATTATTGTTGGGAAGGGGCTGTAATTTGAAATTTGATAGCTTTTGAGGTAGTTCATTAATGATTTTCTCAGATTGTACGTGAAGATAAAAATGTCATTCTGTTATTGTCCACATGTAGAATTGTTAAGGTGAAACACTTAGGATATGAAATTGTCAACAGTGAATTTAGGTAAATGTGGCCAAAGATAAAATATCTAACTTAGACATTAGAAAATGGAGATTCTTGGCATTCAAAAAACATTATGGTTCACTTAGTTTGTTAATGAAACTAATGTAAGTCAACTATCGGTGAACAACACAAGCTTGTTGTTTAGCAACATGATTTTTTCAGAGCTTGTAATTTTTTTGATGCTGTGATTAGAAACATTCTTGATACTCTAACTTCAGAATATTCATAGTTGTATTTCAAAGTGCATTCTCCGCCAACAACTTAAAATTCAGACAGTCATCCTCAAATATAAGCTTCAGACCAGATGAAAGGCAAACCGCTAGAAGCACCCACCACCTATGACGTGGCTACTCTTGACCGAGTAGCAGGATTGACTGTCACAATTATAACACTCCAATAATTTAATATGTATAGAATATTCTGTGGCATATTGCTTCTCAATCCTTGGATCTGTTTTATCAGTGATTATAAATGTGTACTGCAACATTGGATATAGTGTATGATACAGTGGAATGTTATCCTGGCTCGTGACTAGAGCCATGCCGTCTGTTTTGCCCGTGAGACTGTGAATCAGCAGAGTAAATATAACCTTGGGAGGTCCAACAATGGTAGGTCAACATGTTCAGGATCATCACAACAATGATGCTACTCACACCAACAACCAAGCAACACCCAGCCAACAACTATTAATGCAATTTATATATACACATTTAAATTTTTATTTTAAGTTATTTTATTTCATATAATGTGTCCTTTCTTGTGTAATTTGTAGATTTTTATATAACATTAATTATTGTCTCCACCTGTTTGAGTTAAAAGTAGTAACTGTCCAATATGCAAGTTCTATTAATCTATTAGCCCTTAAGTCAACTGTTATAACATCATAGTATTAACTGTCCAATATGCAAGTTCTATTAATCTCTTAGCCCTTAAGTCAACCGTTAAAACATCATAGTAGTAACTGTCCAATATGCAAGTTCTATTAATCTCTTAGCCCTTAAGTCAACCGTTAAAACATCATAGTAGTAACTGTCCAATATGCAAGTTCTATTAATCTATTAGCCTTTAAGTCAGCTGTAATAACATCATAGTAGTAACTGTCCAATATGCAAGTTCTGTTAATCTATTAGCTTTTAAGTCAGCCGTAATAACATCATAGTAATAACTGTCCAATATGCAAGTTCTATTAATTTATTAGCTTTAAGTCAGCCGTAACAACATCATAGTAATAACTGTCCAATATGCAAGTTCTATTAATCTATTAGCTTTAAGTCAGCCTATATAATCTGTGTTTTTTAAAAAAATGCAAGTTTACTTGATTATTGAAGGAACTTTCTCCTACAGCTCCACCTACAGTAACATCTGTAAAACGGAGGACGTCTGCAAAACGAGGAGAAACAGCAGTAATTGAATGTGAAATAACAGGGGAACAACCTTTATTAGTGTCTTGGGAAAAAGATGGAACAAAATTGACCATGCCTTTTACCAGGTGAGTAATTTATCACCACACCTGGCTAGATTAGTGAAAAAATGGAACAAAGTTGACTGTGCCTTTTACCAGGTGAGTAATTTCTTACCACACCTGGCTAGATTAGTGAAAAGATGGAACAAAGTTAACCTTACTTTTTACCAGGTGAGTAATTTCTCACTACACCTGGCTAGATTAGTGAAAAAATGGAACAAAGTTGACCATGCCTTTTACCAGGTAAGTAATTTCTCACCACACCTGACTAAATTAGTGAAAAGATGGATCAAAATTGACCATGCCTTTTACCAGGTGAGTAATTTCTCACCACACCTGGCTAGATTAGTGAAAAAATGGAACAAAGTTGACCATGCCTTTTACCAGGTAAGTAATTTCTCACCACACCTGGCTAGATTAGTGAAAAGGTGGATCAAAATTGACCATATCTTTTACCAGGTAAGTAATTTCTCACCACACCTGGCTAGATTAGTGAAAAGATGGATCAAAATTGACCGTGAATTTTACCAGGTAAGTAATTTCCCACAACACCTGGCTAGGTTTGTAAAGAAAAAGAGAATTGAAGATAACTATTCCTTTTACCAGGTGAGTAACTTCTCACTATAACTGGCTCTATTAATATTAAGCTTATGAGCGGTTTAAATATTTTACTTGTACAAGTTATTGAACGTATTATTTCTCATAAAATATGTTTTATTCTTACGTCAAAGTGCTGGTTTAAGTTGTGTTTGACGTACACACCCGCTATTGTAATTTTGCTGTTGGTTAAATCGATTGAACGTGAAAACAGAATTCGATTTTTCAACGTTAGGGTCGATTTGCCAAATGGTAGTGTTTACACATGCATTCGTGCGTTTCTTTTTTGGCTGTTATCGAACTTTTTAAAAATATTTTTGTTTGCGATACATACTATAGATAACACGAAGTGTTCATACCTGGCTTCTAAGATGGTTTTGAAACTTTGCATTTAAATATATATATATAATTTGAAGTCTTAAAGCTAGCGTGCCCGACAGTGATTTAGCTGGGGAACTGAATTTTCTAGAAGTCGGCGACAAATTCAAATAACACGTAAAGTCTCCTGAACGAATCATGATAACTTCCATAAATCTTTATATACACTCAGTTTCACCCGTTTGGGACACAGTATTTGTGCTGGTATATGGGAACTTTGGGGTTTCATATGAGACAGATTTTAGGATTAAAGCTGTGTTTTATAAAGACGATAATTTGTGTACATAGGGTGGTGATTTTGAAGAAGTGGGATGTTTTATGACGTGGTAAACTTTATCGATTATCTTCAAGAATGTATAGGTTAACTATATATATTAATTTCAGTAGAGATATCTAAAACAAGTCTATGACCGCATATTTTCTTCGTTCCTGCCAAATATTGTTTACATTCGTATGTAATTTTCTGAATATTGTAAAATAAAACAGGTACACGTGTTGAAGCACTCAGCGGGCATATCGTTGTAGTTTAAAGTAACGCGTGCGATATACCATCGTGATGAAACTAATGTTGATTTAAATCTAATCATTCTTCGCCAGAATAATATGGGTTTCTCTGCCTAGAATATTATATAATAGTATTTCATATGCACGTAGCATTCAACGAGGTTCTTCACTTTATACCAGAGTTCATTAAGTCAGCTAGGATACAACATACTATGGCTTAGTTTATATATATGATGTATATCTGTCATTTGTTGGGCCAGTGAAAAAAAAATTGTGTGATTTCAATGATCCTCGGGTATATTATGATGTAATATTAGTTGTAAGTGTAATGTTTCCCTTGCTAACTGTCCCTAAGTTATGCAAGTTTTGTATTATTCTTTCACTTGTCTAAATATGACTCCCCTTCTCTCTGTTTGTTTATTTTTAGTTCTGGCATGGCCTGGTGGCTAGGGCACTTGAATTGCAATATGCGAGCCGCAGGTTCGTATCCTGTCACCGAACATGCGTACCCTTTCAGCCGTGGGGTCGTTATAATGTGACGGTCAATCCAACTATTCGTTGGTAAAAAGAGTCATGCAAGAGTGGGTGGTGTCTAACTTCTAGCGCAGATAGCCCTTCTGTAGCTTTGAACGAAATTAAATACGTAAACAAATAATTTTAAGCTTTATGAAATCCCGCATCAAATTGTAGCCAGCTATCCTGCTGTTTTCCTATTAAATCTTTTGTTGATGGTTTGATTATTTTTCTGCCAAGGTTTGAGACGTACGAGGAAGCTAATGGTAAAGGTGTTAAGGCCACTCTGCTCATCAGCAATGTTCAACGTCGTGATCAGGGAAATTATCTATGCAGTGTTCAGAATGATTATGGAAGTGTGAAGGATGTCACGGCTCTAACAGTGCAAGGTAAGCTGGAAACCCATAAGTTCGTGTTATAACGGAAACATTGTAATTCAAAGCAAGACATTAAGAATTAGTTTAAATATTCGCTGAAACCATGCATTATATAACCAGAGACCAAAATAATCCACATTGTGAAACCTGAAACCTCTTCTAAAGTAAGGCATTTTTTCATGTTACCCTACGTTCAGGGCGTTGTGAAACCAGAAATGTTCTTCCAAAATAAGGGATTTTTTTTCATGTTATCCTACGTTCTGGGCGTTGTGAAACCAGAAACGGTCTTCCAAAGTAAGGTATTTTTTTCATGTTATCCTACGTTCTGGGCGTTGTGAAACCTGAAATGGTCTTCCAAAGTAAGGTATTTTTTTTCATGTTAACATACGTTCTGGGCGTTGTGAAACCAGAAATGGTCTTCCAAAATAAGGGATTTTTTTTCATGTTATCCTACGTTCTGGGCGTTGTGAAACCTGAAACGGTCTTCTAGAGTAAGGGATTTTTATGTTACCATACTATCAAGAGAAAAGCGTTCATTGTTTAAGATTATAGAAAACAAAAAACAATTTCAAGAGGTAGATAGCTTGCGCTCACCTGAAGTTAATATTAATTACAAACCTATTTATTTTAGGAGTTTTGGTTTTTCAAGTTTCTACTTGTACTAGTGACAATAGTTAATTCTACAGAATCATGAACAATGACAGTTATCGATAGACGATATTGTCTATAGTCAACTTACAGATTGACGAGATTCTGTTTTTAGTCAACATTATGCTGTTTATTTATGTAGAGCACTTGTGGAAATTAGGATATTAAAGTGCTTACAAAGCTGGTATAAATTAATTGAATATAATCTGCGTTTTTGACTTCATCATTCAAATTTCGTATATCCAATGTTTATGAAATTCTACCTATTTCTTTAAGAAAAATTCACTGAAAACTGTGATGAATAATAATTGGTGGTTTACATATAGCATATGTGTTTCATAAACCTTGACAAATGTTAAAACAGTTTTACAGATTGCGGACAAATCTAGGAAAATGCAATGAAACGCATTGGTTAGGTTTATATGGTAATAATTAGTTTTGATTATTTTAATGTATATGGCAAAGTAAGAACTGTTTTTATAGTACGTCACGTTGAACTACTGACTATATGAACGTAACAAAAGCCTTACTGTTATCGTCGATAATATTTAATAATTTGTCAGTTTATTTAGTCAATTTTTCTGTAGTTGTTTAACCGTTTATAATACCCACCCTGTTAAATCTTTAAACAGTCGTAGGTCACATAATCTGTGTCATAAAGCATTTTAACCATGAAAAAAAAATGTACAAACCTAATTTTGACAACCAGAAATAATGGTTATTTGTTGGCCTTCTCATTCACGCAGTGCACGTGCCCTTGAGGGCATTGAAACGCAGCTGCGCGACAAGTTATACGTCTACATCGTGTGTAACAACCAATAGAAAAACCCCATCGTTTGGGTTACCATTAGCAACATCTGCTAGAGCTAGCATGGGAAGAAGGAACAGAGGCAGCTGTGTGATGTGTTCAATAGAAGCCTCAAGGGACTCTCTACGTAGTGTAGTCACCTGTAAAAGACACTATTTCCATTACGATAAATACAAATTGTATATTATGAATCCACAATATAGAATGAGGAGTCTCAACCTTAACGTGCCCATGAAATTTAGTACAAAACCCATTACACTTTATAGTTTTATTAACTGAAAACCGCGAAAATGCCCTATCTCCCCATTATAAAAATGCCTCGCAGTGATCCGAATCAAATCTGGGAAGGACTGTCCCGCATTGACTTCCCATCATATGTAAATTTTCGTGTACAATGGTCTATTAGTTTTCGAGATACGGAAACTCGGACACACACACGGTCCCGATTGCAATACCCTCAACCCCTCCTCCTCCGGGGACGAGGGTAATGATATAATTTTGGGTCTTTTATAAATACAACCCTAAGAAATATCCTTATAAGTTCAGTAAATCATGAGTATCTTTAAAAACATCTAAACAGATTTAATGCTTTTGATAGTCCAGTAACAGTTGAATAATAGTTTTCACAAACGTACAACATATGGTTTGGTATGCTGCTGGCGCCATCTGTAGAACCATTGATAACTTTTTTTTGTATTTTAATTTTCCTTTAGTAAAACCATAAATATTACAATGAATTACATAACTTACGTTTTAGCTAACCAAGCTGAAACCACATTATGAACCAGTAAGGTTAAGTGGTGTTTTATATCGGATCTTTGATAGCTTGTCCTGCATGAAACATTTATGCTCTTGTAATAGGCATTCATCTTTTTGAATTGACAATGTTCCTGATGGTCAGCTTGCCAGCCCAACGTTCGAGATGAGGTGCTGATAAATTCTTTGTACTTTCATTTGTGGGCATGTTAATAGTGACAGTCAGTCCAATTTTCCAGTTCAAAGAATCAGACTTAGCCATTGTGGCAATGGATGCTAACATCTGGCTGCACTCCCTTTCTGGTTAGAATTCAAAATTAGGTTCATCTGTACCTGAATCGAAGGATGACAGTGGCCTAATCATTTAGTCTATGTGAGTGTAAGGTGAATTCAGATTTGAACTTCCAACACTATGTAGCTAGTCTTTTTTTCAACAGAACAACCCAAATATTCTTAACTTTTGCATCTACCAGGTGTAGTATAGTTAACTCTCAATTTTTACAACAGAAGATTTCATAAAAATAACAAAATATATATATATTTTTTTAAAATTAATGACATGATCTTTGTCAGGCTCTCTTCTAGTGTACAATTTTACATTTTATCGTTGTTTGTTTTGTATCTAAACTTTGCTATGTTTAGAACCGCCAGAAAGCCCGTCTGATGTTAAAGTAATCAGTGTCAACAGTCGCTCAGCGCAAGTGATATGGGGAGCACCTTCTGGCATCAGTACTTCAATTAAGCAATTTGTTATTATGTTTTGGAAGAACTCGAGTAAGTATTCCATGAAGTTTCAGTCATATGAGTGCTGAGTGTTTAAATACTTGCAGCTGTTAAATTTAGTTTTCATTTATTGTATTCAAAACAACATACATTTTTAAAACAAGTGACAAAATTAAAAGTGATTATTTGAGTATATTGCTCTTTGAGTGGTTTATATTTGATTCATAAGATAAGTTTCTATGTAAGATACTTACATCATAGCGTGGAAACTGTAATGTCATAAAAAAAGTAAAATAACTGAACTGTACACAGGAACTTTAACTAGTTAAGTGCATTAGATGCTGTGGGAATGATTGGTTTATAGTTTGGAAACAGTAAGTATTATTGAATAGTTTTCATGATGCTCTAAAAGTAAGTAACTTGTGTTTGTGATACTTGTGAAGAGAAATTATTGGGCAGTATTCTTGATGACTGTAGAGTAAATGATTAATTATTGGGCAGTGTTTTTATAATTGTGGAACAAATGATTAACTATTGGACAGTGTTCTTGATAATTGTAAAGTAGATGACAGTGTTTTTGATAATTGTGGAGTAGATGAGTAATTATTGGGAAGTATTCTTGATAATTGTGGAGTAGATGAGTAATTATTGGGAAGTGTTCTTGATGATTATGGAATAAATGATTAACTATTAGACAGTGTTCTTGATAATTGTGAAGTAGATGAGTAATTGTTCGTCAGTGTTCTTGATAATTGTGAAGTACATGTGTAATTTTTGGGCAGTGTTCTTGATAATTGTGAAGTACATGTGTAATTTTTGGGCAGTGTTCTTGATAATTATGGATTAAATGAGTAATTATTGGGAAGTGTTCTAGATAATTATGAAGTAAATGAGTAATTATTGGGCAGTATTTTTGATAATTATGGAGTAAATGAGTAATTATTGGGCAGTGTTCTTGATAATTATGGAGTAGATGAGTAATTATTGGGCAGTATTTTGATAATTATGGAGTAGATGAGTAATTGTTGGGCAGTGTTCTTGATAATTATGGAGTAGATGAGTAATTGTTGGGCAGTGTTATTGATTAGTATGAAGTAAATGAGTAATTATTGGGAAGTGTTCTTGATAATTATGAATTAAATGAGTAATTATTGGGTAGTATTATTAATAATTATGGAGTAGATGAGTTATTATAGGGCAGTATTCTTGATAATTGTGGAGATGAGTAACTATTAGGCAGTGTTTTTGATAATTGTGGAACAAATGATTAACTATTGGACAGTGTTCTTGATAATTGTGAAGTAGATGAGTAATTATTGGGCAGTGTTCTTGATAACTGGAATAAATGATTAACTATTGGACAGTGTTCTTGATAATTGTAAAGTAGATGAGTAATTATTGGACAGTGTTCTTGATAGTTGTGGAACAAATGATTAACTATTGGACAGTGATTGTGATAATTGTAAAGTAGATGAGTAATTATTGGACAGTGTTTTTGATAATTGTGGAATAAATGAGTAATTATTGGGCAGTGTTCTTGATAATTGTGGAACAAATGATTAACTATTGGACAGTGTTTTTGATAATTGTGGAATAAATGAGTAATTGTTGGGCAGTCTTCTTGATAATTATGGAGTAAATGAGTAATTATTTGGCAGTCTTCTTGGTGCTTTTTTAGTAGATGAGTGAGTTGTTATTGGGTAGAGTTCTTGATAGTTGTGGATTGAGCTATGTTACTGATAACTACAGAGTAATTAAAAATTGTACTTGATTGAAGGACATGAATAGTGTCAACTATAATTAAGTATGTGTTCTTCATCTTTATTATAGAAGTGTCTGGGAAGTTGCATCAAGTATCACTGACCAGTACAGAGACGTCCACTCTTCTCCGAGATCTTCAACCTGGAAATGAATACACTGTCCAACTCCTGGCAGAAAATGATGTAGGTAGGGGAGATCCCTCTGATCCTGTGACTTTTGAAACCAAAGAAGAAGGTGAGTTGAAATACAGAACAGAAACAAGCATTTAATCAACTATTAAAATGGATGTACATGTTTATGTATTTAACTACTGGAGGTGGATTTTAAGCTGGAAATGGTGATTCTGTATATATGCAAGGCTGGCACAACTGGGGTGCAGCACGTATTTACACAGGGCAGCAGGTTTTTTGGGGCATTATTGTGTAGAATGGCAGAATGGTGTGTGTGTGTGGGGGGGGGGGTAGGTGGCACAGTCAGCATTTATACAGATTGGCAGAACACGTTGTGCAGGCCCTGTATACATGAAACAATAAAACTAATCCACAACTTACTCTGTTTTGTTCACAAAAAAGTCAGAGTTAATGCTTGATGTATTTATTATACTTACCTTTAATATGTTAATATTCATTGTCATTTGCTTTAATAAATGAAACCAAAATGTAAAAGTAGTTCCATAGATTTTCAAACTAATTTTAATCAGCATTTATGTCCATGTTTTTTCTGTAGTATAGTTCCAAGTTCATTTAAATAGTGATAGTGAAAATAAGTATCACATGCATGCTGGTTTCAAGTCGCATTGTACCTATGTAAAAAATTACTAAAGTTTTTGTAACTCTGAGAAATAGGTTTGCTAATAGCAGTAAAATCTTTACAAAGCACATGTGATGTTTCATACAAACACATTGATGTAACACTAGTTGTATGCCTTCAGTTTGTTTATTAGTAAATGTAAAGAATATGGTTTCAGAACCAGAAGCTCCACCTGTTGACGTAGAAGTAGAGGCAGCTGATTCACATACACTTCAGATTTCATGGAAGGTATGTATTTCATTTCAATGTTGTTGTTTGTTTGTTTCATTATTGTACACGTAGTAAGTCAAGGTAGATAATTCAAATAATAGTAACTTTTTTATTCTTAATGGTATTTGGTTTCTGAAGTTTTATTATAATTAAACAAATTTAAGTTGTTGAAATGTTGAGTTATAGTACACAAGTGTATCTACATGATTTTACAGAAAATATTTTAAAAATTGTTAAAAATAATAATGCTGGCATATTACAAGAGTGATAATTTAATTTGTTCAGTGCCCTCTTTTGTTGAATTATTGGGTACCCATTTTAGCCACCACCTACAGACACATGGAATGGCCAGCTCAAGGGATACCATGTGGGCTACAAAGTAGAAGGGTCAGCTTCTCAACTAGCTTATGAGACTGTGATCAAAACCAACTTACGTGAAGAGAAGACACTTCTACGTAACTTGCGACCATCCACTAGATATTCTGTAGCAGTAAATGCTTTTAACAGTGCGGGTGATGGTCCAGCTTCGGAAGAAATTGTCACATCAACTCTTAATGGAGGTGTGTGTGAAGTGCTAAGTTATAGCAGCTTGTTGATTGCAGATTATTCATATTTATACAGAAATATCTATCTAGGCTTAAGACTGCTAGTCATTGTATTTTAAGTTTGGTTAGTGTGGTTTATATCATTATAATAGTTTCTATGTTGCTTCCAATTAAAAAGCTAACTTAGTGCAAGAAATGTTCAGATATTAATATATATTTATTATTTCCATTCTTCCAGATCCTCCTCAGTCTCCAGAGGTGAAAGTCAAGAATGTCTCCCAGACATCAGTCACTATCATGTGGTCACCACGTGTGAACTCAGACGCATCTGTGGAGCGTAAGTCGTGTTTCTTATTTGTTCAGAAAATGTATTTTGTCTATATGAAAATACCAGTAATATTCAACCTTTTGACACAGATTCAAGAATTAAATAACCATATATTTTGTTGTGGAAAGTGATTGTACTTACATAAGATCTATTTATACGTTAGTGCTAATCAAGACACACACCTGCAGGACACACTGTGTGTTATTAACAGGAGTGACAGTTGAGTGATTTTTCCACCTTCTGTAGATCAGATTGTGGTAATCCAAACTATCACGTATTTTCACTGGATGTGCTCTACTGGACTCTTACTTCACATACCAGTTTTCAAGGAAATCCATTAAGAAATACCTGAGATATAAAATTTTCAAATTTGATAGAGTTTATTCATTTTTTCTTCACACCAAAAGTATGGAAACTTTATTGATAGAAAAACATACTTAACTTTTGTGGATTTTTTTCAAATTTGGCAAACTGATAGATTTTTACAACCTACAATTATGAGTCTCATTTGGTATAAATATAAGCCACATAGAGGTTGATCAGATTTTGTACCAATCATTAAGGTAGAGGTTGATTGGAGTTTGTGCCAGTTGCTGATCTTATAATTTATGCTTGAGATGTGCACCCTGTAAATTTGTTTAAATACAAAGATAGAACACTATTTTCCATGAGTAAATTACTACTTAGCTTTTATTTACAATATAGTATAATAACAGCTATTTTTAAACGATTTAGTGTATCAAAAGGAGTTTGCTACACTTACACACACATATATGATGTTGTTTGGTCTTTTTTCCCCCTAAAATAGAGTATGTTCTGGAGTATGTTGACACCGATCAGAATAAACAAGAGTTTCATGCTCCAGGATCTCATAAAGAATACTGCATTGAGGGTTTGGAGAGTGGTCAACGTTACAGTATCCGTGTGGCAGCATACAATATGTTTGGACGTGGGGATTTCTCCCCATCTTTGGTAGTGATTACTGAGGGTAATGGTAAGTTAAAGTTTCAATTTTTTTTTACAAAAAGGAACTATTACGTGAGCTTTAGGTGTAACGTAAAGGGTAATAATAGCATTGTAATGGTTTCCTATTGTTGGCTGGGTTCTTTTGTGTTATTTATTAAAAATAATCCAAAGTCCAGTCAAATTAACAATAACAAAGACAATTTATTTTTTCTACTACAAGTTTTATAAGTTAACTAATGCTCACTGATAAGCCTAAGTTTGCTAATAACAGTTTCACTTTCTTGTTTTCTCATGTGTATCTATTTTTTTCATCCAAATTCACAAACTTGATATTCACAACACTGAACTAACTGGCTGACAGTAACAGATAAACTGACAAAAATGCAAACTAACAAAGATCAGTCATCGTCTACTCTAGATTAACTTTTTTTGTACTGCTCAAATCATTTCCTAAACTTTCAAGAAGATACTATTCATTAAGCCATGCACTCATCACGTGAACATCTTACCTCCCTCTAAAAGAACAATACAAATATTTTCTCATTCACACAAAGGTGTTCCATGAACTTCATGTATAACAGAGCATAATGTTAATTAACTATTTTCTTCTTGTTTTTTAAGCTTGAGCTTAAATTTTATCAAATAATTGTAAGATGTCTTTGTTGATATCATTCTATAATTATTAACTCTTTTAGCATGGGCCCGGTCCCTGCGACTGACCCTGTAACCATTTTGTACTTGTTAGTTTTCATGCTATAACTTTTAAATTACTAAGCAAATGTTAATGAAATTTGGCAGGTGAGTATACAAGTGGTGCTCTGAGAATGACGACTAGTGTCTGTTGAAACATCAAGTAGTTTTACACTTAATTTGACTGGTATATATTTCTAATCACTGATATAGTTTTATAGTTCATATCTTTCTACTGTTTTTCACCCCTTCTTACCTAGATATATCTTGTTTCTCCCAGCCAGGGTTCCTGGTTATGAACCCATTGTTCACGAGACACCTTTCTACTTCCGTCTGTATTTTGTTATTCCTGTTGTCGCCTCAGTCACTGTTATTTTGTGTGTGATTGTTGTAGCTTGGGCTTGCCTGAAGAGGGCACATTACATTGAAGGTAAGGGATTTTTAAAATACTAAAACATTTTATTTCCTGTGAGAATAATTATTTATTCCCCATGTCCAGAACATAAAAGTAATAATACCTTTATGAACAAATAGTTTTACATTTTACACTGTTTTAGAGTGTGTAATTTTTTACTTCAGTGGATTGTACTGAAGATGTTGTGTAAATGTTGTATTCATTTGTAGGGCGAAAAGCACAGTTGTACGTTAGCTACCAGCAACGCCTGACATACGTTCCTCCATCAGAGATTTCCCGTGATAGCCGTGCTGTGGATGCCGCTTACGATATTCCGTGGGATGTTCCTAATGGTGGGGGCAGCATGGTAATATCATAAAGTTTTGTTGGTTTATTATAGCAGCTAATGTTTGGATACAAATTAATGGAGACCTGCATATTTGTTTACAATTTACTGTTCGTCAGAACAAAAAAAATCTTAAGAGTACGTTTTGAAATAACTCTGATTGTTGAAGTGGCAAGTGTTTTAAGTTTATAGGTAACTTTGATAGTAAAGTTATCTTATTTGTTGCAGATAACATAAATGGATAGAAGAATCAGCATAAAAAGGTAAAGCAATAAAAGTGAAACTCGTGAACTAGCATGCATGACAGTCCCTTACATAATCATACATTTTCACAACATCACCTAGTTGAAAGCACTTTCATCCAACTATGTAAAGAGTTAAAGACCTATGGAAGATAATAAATAAATTTTTAATTTGCACTTTCAAAATGTGGATTTTATAAATTTAAAAACTCTTAAAAAGTTAATTTCTTGTCAGAAAATTGGGCACAATTTTCAATGAAGTTAGAGAAACTTTGATAAGATTTTATTACGGTTTGCTATATTTAGGTATGATAATGGTATGAGATTAAGATTTGAAATCAAAAACATTTGCTAACTGTTTGTACCTTGTCATGTGTAGACACAAATTAACCCACATAGGATTGTATAGGACCCCCTACAGAGTATTCTAGGACCCCCACAAGACTGCATAGGACCAAATTTATTCACAATACAGCAAAAGTATTATAATTTCCAAGAAATTTATCAAAATATCACTACATAGGACTGTACAAGATACAAGTAAAGAAAAAAATTATGTAGGGATGATGTAAATGCCATCCCTACTATATTGTTTGCATTGTTTTTGAAGGATTGATATTAAACATCCATACATTAACTTCCTTTTTTTGAACAGTTTTTCTTTACTTGTTTTTTTTAATGTAGTATTTCGGTAGACATAGGAAGGTTATACTTATAACCAAATTCTAAGTAGTATGAGGTTCCAACTTTATTGTTTATCTATTATTGGCTGGTTATTCCTGTTTCAACCCCGTACTTAAGTGTTTTAACAGGAACACCATAGGCATTACTACCACCTGCCTGATAAATATAACTACATAAAGCCATATAGGATATAAATATCATTGACTAGCACCCCTGTGCTACTACGTAAGAGCATTTTTGATAAAAATTGGTCAAAATATATGATTAAATATTTAGAAATATTTAGCATATATTAGAGACTGACGTTTTCATAGACACCTCCGAAGTAGTTGTTGCTTTTGAAATCATAGGACATATTAAAGACAATGCAGTTACTAAATAGAAACTTACTTAGTTAGAAATTGTCAAAATGTATCACCAGAAAGTTACATGTTTACCAATGTTTAGCAGAAATCAGAGATTTATGTTTTATAATTACAGCTAATGTAACTTGCTATCAAAATCATTGGTGCATCATATATTTCAAGATGTAAGACATCTTTCCACATGGAAGTGAGAGAACAAATGTGCCACATGCAGTTTGTGTGTCATTACTTAACTGACTACATTATGTAAGAACTGTGTCATAGTGTTTATGTATATACTTACTTATTAGTCTATTTTAATGGTTATTTTACTAGCATTCATTATTAGAAACTTTTATGTATGTACTTAGTATGTAGTGTATTTTGATTACACAAGAGGAAAATAAATGATTAGTTTCGTAAGTAATTATTGCTTAGTGTATTTTTGCATAGTTTTCTATGTAATTAGTGTATTTTTTGCTTAGTTATTGTATGTAATTGTTGCTTAGTGTATTTTTTGCTTAGTTCTTGTATGTAACTTGTTGTTTAGTGTATTTTTTGCATACCTAGTTTTGAATATTAGTAAAAGTAAAACTTAACTAAATTTGGTCTTAAATATTAATATGCATGTTCTATGTGGTGGTATGACCACAATGCTGTTGGGGGATTTTTTTATAAGTGTGTGAGGAATTATTATACATTTTGCTATTTTGTGACTAAATGTAGTCTTATGCAGTCATATCGAGGTCCTGTGGAGTCCCATATGGTCGTTTGGTAGGGATCCATGTGGTAGATACAGTAATTATTAGGACCCTATAAAACCTTTAAAAGTACAACCAACTGAGATATGCTTTTCAAATATCTTTGCAAACTAGAAATATAATATTATATTACGTTTAGCTTTACTTATTTAATAATTACATTCAAGGTAAACAACACAAAAAAGTTTCAAAATTAAAAAACTCCTCAAAATATTAAAACATTGCATCATCATCTATTAACTAGTAAAGATCATTTAGCAAAAATCTACAGTTTTTCAATATTTTAATATCTTCATTTCTCCTACTATGTATGACCTTCAATTTTCCAAGTAGACTATAATTTGTTACAGAAGTTAGTACTGGATTCCTTGGATGTAGCACGGTTAGCAAATGCATTGATGTCATCAACAGTTGGTGTTATTTTGTAACCCTAATTCAAGATTTAAAAAAATATTTTGAGTGTGTTTGCAAGTTATTTTACACACACAGTTTGATGTTTTCCCTAACTTCACTATTAATAGAAAACACTCAACACTTGCCACTTTCCTGCTACAAATTGACAAGCATCTGTTATTTATTTTTTATGAGATTGAATGAATTTTGTTGTGCTGTATTTTCATCTGTGTTGAAAGTCTTGTGTGTTTTGTGGCCTGTTTTTTTTTTTGTGTTACAGCATGTTTGAATTAAAACTTTGCTGAAATTAAATGATCAATCATAGCATGTGATAGTCATAGGTTTGTATGGATCATAATTTTATGATCAGCACAATAGTCCAATTAAACTGAAAAATTACACTTCACATGGCACCATAAGTTTGTTAGAAAGTTTAGAGTTTTGAGCTAGTTATTCCTCAGATTATTCAGTTATATTGTTGATTATTTTGCAAGTTAAAACTGTGTTAAGTTTCTTATTCTTGCTTTATTTTATCTTTCAGGGAAGAGACAGATCTAGCTATGTGAAACTAAAGCAAGGTCAGAACTATGTGTGATAAAAAAACAAAACAAAGCTCTTAATTTGCTTTCATTTTAATTGTGATTTAAGCTAAATCCTGAACTGTGCAGACCTAAGTGGATTCCAAGATCTGCCTTAGTGTGCATTTAACCATGTAAGTGTGTGAATGATAAGGCAGAATTGACAAGATTTTTTATAAGCTTAGTGGATAGTTTTGCATAGTGTTTCCATTTTATATAACTTGTATCACATTGAAGTAGAATGCTAGGGTTTTAGAGAATTTACCAAAATACTGTTATAATTTCTTTCTCAGTAATGTCAAATGAAGTTAGATAATGTTTTGGAAACAAGCATGCATCAGAGTAAAGATGTATAGTCATTCTTTTACTCCAAGCTCAGTGTACACCATATTTATTTAAAAATTGGGAATAGAGCTGTGAAGTTCACAGACGAGTGAGTAAGTAGTGATTTTTCTTTTTACCCAGAATCTTAGTTGAGGAGGTAGAGAGTAGCATATTCAGAATGTATCAACATGCAAGGGTTGTAGCATGTTTTGTTTGTATCCACATGAAATGGTTTTAATTGTTTTTAACACCACAGAATAGCAGTAGTATTAAGTAATGCTGTGTCATGCATGACAGAAGAGATTGTTTATGATGATGAGAACAGTCCCTATAAAAATGATGATAATGAGAACATGACTGTTAACTTGGGATAGTTGGGTTAGAATCAGTTTGCTAGTTAGGTCAACTCATTTGTCATTCTGATTAAATAAAGACTTATGTTTTTCATGAACAAATTATGAAAAGAATTAACATAATATCAGTAATAACTCTTGTTTTTCTGGATAATGCCTTTTTTGTAACATTTGTTTTTAATATGGACTGTTACTTCCTTATTGTGGGTGCCACTACTGCTTTTTCTTTTTAACTATGTGATTTGCATAATTTTTACTCAGATGCTATTGGAACAGCTAATACTCATTATATGTTACTGAGGAGATATGTATTACAAAATATTATTATACACTTCCAAAAATACATAATAATGGATGTCATAGTTCAAGTATCCTACTTTTGAAACACTCCTGTACACACCAAACATAAAGAAACAGACTATGACTCGTGATACAATAAACTTTGACCATGGTTAAACACTCATTGCCATTTTTGATGAAAGTGTAGAACACTCATCATCAGTAGATCTGACTTAGTAATTGAAGATCAAGTCATCTTGTTGCATGCTCATATGCAAATTCAATTTTTTGAAATATTTTATTTAAAAAAATGTCTTTGGGTGGGATTACTTGATGTACCAACCTTCTGCCTCCCAGTAAGTCTACAGATTTATGACGCTAAAAAATGGGTTTTGATATCTGTGGTGAGAAAAGCACAGATAACCCATTGTGTTTAACCAACCAACCAACTTCATTAGTATTTGATCAACCTACAGCTTCATAAGTACAACACTTATAGTTATACTAACTTTAAGGAACAGGTTTCAAGCATGTTTCTAACAGTCGTATACAACAACCAACCAACTTCCTTAGTATCTGATCAACCTACAGCTTCTTAAGTACAACATTCATCAACCTTTTTAGTTATATTAGCATTAAGGAACAGGTTTCAAGCATGTTTCTAACAGTTGTATACAACAACCAACCAACTTCCTTAATATCTGATTAACCTACAGCTTCTTAAGTACAACATTCGTCAACCTTTTTAGTTATATTAGCATTAAGGAACAGGTTTCAAGCTTGTTTCTAACAGTTGTTTACAACAACCAACCAACTTCCTTAGTATCTGATCAACCTACAGCTTCTTAAGTACAACATACGTCAACCTTTGTAGTTATACCAATATTAAGGAACAGGTTTCAAGCTTGTTGCTAACAGTTTCTTTTGCCTTATGACATATTTATTTTTATACCAATTGGTGTATCTTGAAATTTTATTGTAAGTGTAAACTTTGTGGACCCATTGATATATAATATTATTTATGTTATATTTGTTTTCTAAGTTGTGCACAGGGATGTGTGGACTAATTTTGCTGGTTAAAGTGTGCACTACAACTGGACAGTTACTTGATACAGATCCACACATTCATCTCATTAATTTGTCTTGCTGTAGTTTGAATATTGAGTTGTGCAGGTGTGAGAGTCATGAATATTGTGGCCACATATTAATTATGGATTGTTTTGATGACTTTTGTTGAGTCAAAATATTAGTGAATGTTCAACTATCTTATACTTAATTGGTCACATTGTATATTACCTTTGTATGTTTTTGACAGTTGGACAGTTTGTATTATTTTAAATCAAATAAAGAATTAGAAATCTTTGTTCAGTGTTGTTGTTTCATATTAACAGTGAATTTACATTCAATATTACTGCTGTAAACTGTTATATCAAGGTTTTGTAACTGTTAATTAAAATTATTGCTCAAATATGTCGGTTCTGACCACAGCTGAAAGTCTTGAATTAATGAATATAACAATATCACGTGAATTCCTACAAATGAAGATATAATATCAAGTGAATTCACAAATGAATATATAGTATTAAGGAAAGTGGATTCCCACAAATTCAAGGTTTTGGTTAGCAACTTCATAAGATAATATTAACAGTATCGCAACACTTTTTGTGAAATGTCTAGTGTTTAATGCTATCTGTAAAATCTTCCTGAGTGACCTAACTCCACTGACAATGACAACACAGAAGTTCGTAAAGATATATTTATATGTTTATTCTGAGAGGAAAGAACTAACAGAACATAAAATAACACTACTTTCGAAACTAACTAACCAGTCTGTGTCTGGGAAAATGTACTCGCAAATATACTGTAGGTGAGCAACAGACTTGTTAAGAATAGTGGTAATCTTTAAGTTGAGAAAAACTAGAACAATAACCTTTTATTAGATAAACTTGATAGACTATGAAGAACATTCTTTGTCAAGCCAAAGACAGTAGTAGAAGAACCGAAACTTTTGTTGGTGAAAGATTAAAATAGGCTATTATTATACAGACTGTAGAACAATTGTTGAAGCTTGTTAAAGACACATTAAATTTTGATGAATGTAGGAAAACAATAAAGTAGTCAGACAATTTTAACGTCATGAATTCTTCAACCAAAGGGATTTTGGTTCATTTAGTTTTATGTACACGCACGTATTTCTTTCACTCGACTTCTTTGATCCAAGTTTGACAATAACCCAAAATAATTTGTGTATTCTGAATATGTATGAATCAATAAGATGAGGTTTAAGATAGTTAAATCACGTGCAGATGAAGTTTTACAGTTTTAATAATTGTAAGTCCTTGGAAACGTTTACAGTTCTAAATTCCTGGATTGAATTATATGGTTCTACTCTAAAGTTAAAAAATCAGCGATAATGCGTTTTATTTATTTATTTTATATCTTACGCGGCGATGCAAACGTCTCTCAACAACATGTATTTTTCCTTTTAAAGTCCCACCTCTTCAGTTGTTGGAAAAGTGAATTCTTAATATTACGACAGAATGTCGAAACAGGATCACCTTGCTGGTCCGTGTAAGGTTAATGACATATCAAACTATCAAAAAGATACAATTAGTAAAAATACAAGTAATGACTTAGTAAATACGTAACTTTGGTATTACCCCGTGTTAATTCTATCCTAGGGTAGGCAATGTGGTTTTAAATAAAGATGGCCGATAAGTCTAATGTGTTAAGTCTTAGTCCATAGAGATTTTATCTGGTTGATAAGATATACATTGTATTGCAATATAACACTAAGTGATTCATCTCTTTAACACTAGGAGGTCTAAATCATCGTTTGTTTTTTATAAATTTGCATTATCCGAGTCAGTACACCAGTTTAAGTAGCGGGGGCGTTGTAAAATTGGTCATCTTAAGATTATTGCAATAAAAGAGTGTGGTTAGATGTAACAACTAACACTGTATCTAAATTACGTTCTGCACCATTTAACGTGGAGTAGTTCTGTTAATGTATTTTAGAAAGCTATACCAAAGATCTAATTTGATTATATATCATCCTAAGGAACTGAATTGACATTGTATCCGAGACTAGTAAAATTAAACTTTTTTTTAATGTTCGCTGTATTGCATAGAAAAACAGGTGTTTTAAATATATATTCTGAGCAACAACTTAAAGCCACGTCTACTACACACAACTTTTTGAATATCGACTTCCACAAGACGGAATTGGTATCGTTTACTACTGATATGTCTCGGTATTCCCATACTTGGCTAGCAATGTGTCATAGTTCGTCATCAGTGTTGTTACTTTACATTCCAATTAGTTTTGCCTCTTGAACAAAAACTGGGGCGTCTATTTTGTATTTAATGACATTAATATTTCTGGGAAACGATATGAAATATTAAACTATAAATATGTTTAGTTGCTTTATGTCATTCACTCGGTTCTCAATCAGACAGTGTGATTATCTATAGGATATACTTGTCGCAACCTATGAGGATCAGACTAAGACAGAAAGAGTAACAAATATTAGAATGGCGTTCCTTGTGGGTTGTTGTTATTTTTACTTACTGGAATGTTCTGTTACTTTTTGGAACATAAACCCTGAAATAATATGAAATAACCTTGTTCCTTGAATCGAGTTTACCTGCCACTTACGGAATGAATGTGACTTGAAGAGAAATTTTTTTCAACAAAAATTCTAATTAAATCAACATGTTTTTTAAAACTCGGCCAGACTATGCAAGGTAATAAGCCAACGTTAGGTTTTCGACTCGGTATTGAATAAGAAAACAACTTAAAGTGCCTTGCAAAAGTATTCAACCCCTACCAATAATGTCACATTTTGATAAAATACAAATAATGTACACAATTCTTTTATGAACTTGTTTTTATTCAAAACTCTAATGATCAAATTTAACACTGTTATGTGAGAAGGAGGTTGAATATCAGCAAAACCTGCAGAGAAAATAAATTGAAATTTGCTAATTGCATAAGTATTCATCCCCTAAGTCAGTACTTGGTGGAAGCACCCTTGGCACTAATTACTGCTGTAAGTCTTTTTGGATAGGTCTCTACCAGCTTTGCAAAATGGGATGGTGTAATTTTTTCCTGGCAAAATTGCTCCAATTCTGACAAGTTCATTGAGGATTGTTGATGGACTGCAATCTTCAAGTCTCGCCATAAATTTTCTATTGAATTGAAGTCGGGACTTTGGCTTGGCTACTCCAGGACATCTACTTTCTTCTTTTGAAACCATTCCAGTGTGGCTTTGGTCTTTTGCTTTGGGTCAGTGAATTTTCGACCCAGTTTTAGATTCTTGGTTGATTCAAAGAGGTTTTTCTCCAGGATTCGTCTGTACTTTGCAACATCCATCATCCCCTCAATCCTGACAAGCTTCCCAGTCCCTGCTGATGAGAAAAATCCCCATAACATGATGCTGTCACCACCATGCTTGACAGTTGTGATGGTGTTGACTGAGTGATGTGCTGTGTTGAGCTTGCGTCAGACATAACATTTCGAATTTAGACAAAAAGCTCAATTTTGTCTCGTCTGACCATAAAACTTTCTGCCACGTGTCTGCAGTATCATTTCATGCCTTGTCGCAAACTCCATACGAGATACAATTATTATTTCTCAGTAATGGATTTTTTCTTGCCATTCGTCCATACAGGCCAGCTCTGTGTAGGAACTGGAATATTGTCGATGTATGAACACTGACTCCCATTTCAAACATGGAACTTTGCAAATCTTTCAAAGTCACTGTTGGCTTCACAGTGACACCCATAACCAGTTTCCTGCTTGCCCATCTGCATAATTTGGAAGGGCGGCCTGATCTGGGTGGTATGAAACACATTCCACTTCTTAATGATGGACTTCACCGTACTCAAAGGGATAATCAGTGACTTTAAAATTTTCTTGTAACCTTCTGCTTCTCTACCAC